CTGAAGTCGACACCTACAACTGACATACCACATAGTTGCACAATTAACTTCCCGAATTTCGAGGGCGAGTATATCACAGGGTTAGCTGCTGTGGTTCCTTGCGACCTTGCTACGACACGAAAAGTGCAAAAACGCGTAATCGTACCGGCCCGCCTGGTGCGTTCCAGCCTGGGTTTATTGTAGCGGACCTTCGCATCATCGGCCAGCTGACCTTTCAAAGGCCGGCAGTTGGGTCAACTGCATCATTTGGTCGCCAGTCTACCGATCAGTTTGTTGTTCGTTGTCAGCGGAATAACAGTGTGATGTTCGGTATGGCTACCAAATTTTTAACATTTTTTGATGAGCCTAGTTGTCTAATAAAATAGGTTTTTTTCACTAAGAAAAGGGAAGGAGACTGGAACAAGCAGCAAAATGGTACTTTGCATGCTCAACGAACCGTCTTCTACTTGCTTTTCAAGCGATCGATCTTAGAAAAAGTGAGCCTTTAACCACTCTGGAGAGGTGGAATGGGAAGAAGCGCATATTTTCACATTTTTGTGCCGAGAAAATGTCGAATTGTGTTTAAGTCGCCATTTCTGGTTGTTATCCGAATTTTCAAAAGCTGTTTCGTGGTTAATGGATTCCGAGTTGAACAAGCTGTTTTGTCAACACCAGTCGTTTTGAGATTGTCTCTAAGCTCATGTAGTGCGAAGGAAAGTGATCAACCACTGAATCAGATTGCACGAATTTGATAAGAATTCCTGCGATTGCACAAACGGTGATTGATTTATATCCGAAAAGGAAATGGAAAGAAGAGAAAAAATACGAGGAGCCTTTCCCGCCAGCAAACGCGTTGCAGCCCAATTGTTCCTTCACTCGCTCCCGCTCCCTCTTCTGCTCCTTACTGCTAGCCGTTTATGTGTTTTGAAAGGGCTCATACTCGCTAAAATGATTTTACCTTGGGTCATAATGTGCTACATTTTACTGCTTCATAAACCAGAGCACCAAAGAATTGAGAACTGTCCAGTAAGGATATCACTCTGTTCGCAAGTGTTAAAAGAACTTTTAAGAAAGTACGTGAAGTACCAAAACAAGCCAGCTGAAGCCAGGATGATGTGATTATGGAAGAAAATGTAGGGCATTGTATGAGGCACGGGCTTCAGTCGTGCTGCATCTGAACAGCATCGATTTTAAAGCCATGAAAGGTGTGAAATTCATCAGCACAGCAGTTAAGATAGTACTAAAAAACTAACTTCACGCAAAAAAGGCATGAAGGAGCAAAGTCTGCTGGGAGTAGACAAATTTGCAGCTCTCTTTTTATGCTTCTTGTGCGTTTTTGTATAGAAAGTTGGAATTTCAAACTAATATTTCCTGTCCATGTACGAGCCAAAAATTTCAAATTCAGCTATCACGCACGTTTACACCACGCGTACAGTCATGTCAAAGTTCGCGACTGACGTTGTGCCAAATTGAAAACTAGTCGTGAAACAGCAGCTGAATGTAGGAGATTTGCCGTCCATCTGGTAAGTCGTGTACCTAAAATGAGTTTTATTTTGCACTTATACAACGACTTTGGGTATATCAAAGATAATTGTAGTAAAGTGGCTATTTCGCTCACCGGACAACCTGTGAAATTTATATTGCAAATTCTGTATTCTTACTTGGTTTAAATTCAAGCTGATGACTAGGTTCTTTGCATGCGGACATGAAAAATACTCAGTTTTATCGCAAACTCAAAAGTGATTGCATTTCGCGGATTCCGTATTACTTCTCGGACATCCTGTGCATTGCCATATTTGCATCTTTTTTGATGAACAACCATTCACCGGAAAAACGATTAAACTTCACGTAAAAAATTGACAACCATGTACGCTTAAGATTCATGCATTTTGATAATGAAACAATTACCATCCAGTCAATGCCCTTTTTACCAGTATGCAGGAAAAGGTCAAAACATCGCTAATATGAGTCTACGTGTTAGAGCACGTGAATTCATATTGGCAATGTTTTGACCTTCTGCTAAGGATCTGACCGCTGCAAGTTCAGCACAAAAAACGCATAACTGCACCGGCAAGTCTGGTACGTTCCAATTTGGAATACATTTGCACAAATACGCAAAAAGGACAATAAAGGGAAGCCAGATTACTCCAGCTCTTTCTGTTTTTATGCATTTCTGCGGTCCAGCGTTTAGCGTTGAAGCAGTTCGTAAAACGCATATTGTGACGATTCACTGTATGCCCGTCTGTCCGGGTGTTTCAATTCGTGAACCAACCAAGCTTAGATGCTGAAATTTTAACGCATTGCTAGAGACATAGCAACAATTTTTGTGGGTGCCTGCTTCGTACGTACAGACATGAAAATTTTGGCGGAAATATTGATTTGGGAATCAGTGGCTGAAGTTATAGTAGGACGTTCTTGGTCTATGTACGGTTCAGAGGTTTCAATTCCAGCTCGTAAGCATGCTTGGCTCACATGTATTGTTTACAAACGATTCAAAAATATCAAATTGAGTTCCTAAATACGCCTATATTTTACGAGCACATAAGAATTTTGGCGGGCTTTAAGATATGTGCAAAACGTATGATCAAACTGCTGAACCTGGGCTTCGGCACCTGGATTCCCTTCTCTGACTGATATGTTCTACGCGAGTATGCCAGTGTTTCGGTGTTTTTTTTAGCGAGCTTCTGGGCTGATAAAGAGGCCGTAAGAACTGTAGGGAAGTCGCACTTCTGTTTTTTCCCTTCAAAATCGTATTGGTGGAAAAAATTCGGAACTTGTGTGCGAACTTGGTTTTCGCATCTTTTCCCAAACCCACAAGCCACTGTATATTCTCTAGAAACGAGTACATACTGCGCCGAGCCGAGTCCCGATAGCTGTCTTGAATTTTCTGACGAGAATGAGATCAGGCACCACAGAGTGGATGAACGATACGACGCTCATACTGGGACAAAGCACATGCAGCGGTTGCGCCAACCTGAAGCTGTGGGAATCGTTCCGACTTTCATCTCGGACTTCCCGCAAGAAAGAATAAATTCACAGTAGTGGGGAGAAGTCGGTAACATGGAGAGCTGGCCGAGACAGTATGCGCCGAGAACGACCAGGAGGAGGGAACGCAGAATCTCGTCTGCGTCGCATAAGACTACGACTGCGCATCTAAAAATTTAGCCGCGTGGGTCTAGAGCTAAATTATTGGAGGAGGGGGCACGAAATAGTGCAAAAACTCATGATCGCAATGGCCCGCCTGGTGCGCGTCGGCAGTGATTTAATTAAATTTTAACAGTGATACGAACGTGATAAAAAGGATAGGCAAGGAGGTGAACCGATGATGCGGTTATCTGTGGTTCTGTAGAAGGGAGGCCGTTCGGGCAGCCCTGGAACAGAGCACGTGGTCGGGGAAGAGCGCCGAGAGGATGCGCAATATTCTCGCTGCCTGTCGTTTCCCTACCCTTCCCTCCAGAGTCACCACGGTCGCCGTCAGTGACCCAGCAGCATCCCTGATCGGTTCGCGCGCGCTCAACAACCCTCACCCCAGCAGCAGGAGCAAGGGCAGCAGCAGCAGCACTCCGAACGACCGGCCTCCGGCAACGCAGCACAGCGCTGTTGCAGAGCAGCGTCCCGCCCTCTCCGTCCCTTGCTGGTCCCCGTTCGAGCGCCAAAATCTGTTTGTTTGCTTGACAGAGTGGCTCCCTCCCACTGCTCCTGCTCATTGACGCATCGATTTGGAGCACGCTCGGCAACTGTTGGCGGTCGAAGCAGCGGCAGCAGCAGCAGCACACTGCGACGCTGCTGGACGCTCGATGAACGTACGCAGGCGGGAATTATGCACGCTGAACGAGAGCGCTGCTGCATGGGAGGCGCCGTCGCCCTCCGGCTCCACCGGTTCGTCGCCATTTTCATTTGCATTTCTTTTTCTTTCTCACATTCGCAAGGCGGCGCCAGATGGATGATTGCACGTCGCAGCTGCACGTTGGCCAACGGCCGCCGCTGCATCATCACTGGCTGACGGAGGGGGCGGGAAATACAGGAACTTGCAGAGGAGCTTCAGCTGAGCGAAAACTTTTTTCATGGCTGAGCGGATTTTTTAGCAGCGTGTACGCTTGAGCCAAGTACAATTTGAGTAAAGGAACAATGTACGAAAAGAGCATTCAGCCGCTGCTTCGCGGTTCACCGTTAGCATTTCCGGTGAAGACCGCAAAAGTGCAGAGGAATAGAGGTAGTTCGTTCAAAAACTTTCAGACAACCCTCGAAAAAGGAATCGTCGAGAGAAGGGGAGGGGAGAAGGACTTGGTTGGCAGTTGCTGCTGATGACAGAAACCTCCTCAGGTGCAGGCTGTAGTCATTTCGGACAAGCAATCTTCCAACTTTATTGTAGTAAGTTCATTCAAAAAGGCAACTGCTAAAACTCGACTTTGCTGAACTCGGCCTGGCCACGCGTGCTCGTGAATTGATGAGACATGTGCGATTTTCGGTTTTCTGTACCTCTGTGATTTTTGTGGGTAAACGCAAAGGTGCTAAGCGTTATGCAAGTCGCACACTGCTAACGCAACATCGGCTACTTGCATACGAAGATACCAGTGCTCGGAAGAATAAAAGTAGGGAGAAAAAAAACGGATACGTTGGCTTCCATTTATTTCGAAGTAATTTCGCAGCATATCTTGCGTTTAACAATTCTTTCGCTGCTACGTGAGCGTCATTCGAATTGCAGTCTGGCTTCGCTGCTAGCATTAGAATTATGTTTTCATCAGTTGACTGGATCTCAGTTCAAACCTCTTTATGGTCTGATGATGCTAAGCGAGAAGCCAGAAGCTGAATGAAAACTGGTAGGAATAAGCGTGTCGACTTTATCTCAACATAAAATTTCTTGGTGAACAACGTAAACCCACCTTCACTACAATCTCGTCCCTGTTTCGAACTCCTACCTTCAAACAGACCGGACTCGGGCTGAGAGGAGATGGCCTGAACATCTAGTGCAGCTAGTTTTAGGGAACAGCGGTAGCTGTCCATCCGCATAGCTTGACCCTTCATACGTCATTTTTTCTCCAGAAACTGAGCGATTCGATTTTGAACTTGGCACCAGGAAGCAGTCCGTTCCTCCGGCGATAGCGTTATGCAGCAAGGTCACTTTTCTTTTCCTCACTGGGCCCTTCAGGCCCGTACTGCCTTTTTGTAGTGATTGCTTGGCTAACAGACGCGACAAGGGCAGCGAACGCTCCACACATGTTAATTTTTTGAACGCGCAGCGCAAGGGATTTTGCCTCAAGAAAGGCGCGCTCAAAGTCAGGACTGAAAAGGCCGTGAAAAACCGACGCCTCGTTGGGGGAAGCGAATTATGTTTGAGGCCTGAGGCGGGAATGGTGCAGACAGCACCAGAACAGCCCTGTGCTGGACTGCCTATCGATCCATGCACGACTCGAAAAGGGGCAGAGCAATTCGAACTTTGTTTCTGCAGTTATAATTTGCAAGAAAACTCCTAAAAGAATGTATAAGACCAAACAGCATGCTGGGATTTTGTCAGTCGTCTTTTATGTGTTTTCTATTACGCATGAACTTGTTTTGCAATAACGTAGCAAATCTTGTTCATGCTTACATGCTTGCGTGCGTTTGACTGTATCCAGCTATTTTAGTATGTATGTTATATGTACATGCATATGCGTGCCTCTGTATGTATATGTGTTTTTTGTGCGTAAAATTTTGCGCCCTCAAATTAGCGAAGAAGCACGAAGCTTTGAGCTTTAAATCGATTTCGAGCCATTCTCTATCCTGACCCCTTCGCCTCTATCCTAAATCTAAGTTAAAAGCATGTAATTAGCGAACAGAAATCCCGGATCGTATACATGGTCACAGTCTGAATCAGCTCACATTATCCCTTTCTTTGTTTTGGTTGTTTAGCTTAGGAAATGGAAATAAGTTACGAAAATTAACTTTATACGTTCTTGTACATTTGCGCAATCCAGTTAGTACGCACCAGGCGTTCCGGTGCGAACATGCGGTTTTTCTCGAATCCTTCAGCAGTCAGATTGTTAAAAGTATGAATGGTTGTTGTTGTTGTTGTTCTCCATTCAACATATGCAATAATGCTTGCAGTTGCCTTTTTTGCGTATAGCAGGAAATGGGACACAGGCTGGGATAGTAATGTGGCTACGTGAGAACTTTGAGCAGATATGATTATAAAAATTTTTCACGATATTGTAAGCAAAACGCATCCTCAATTTTGCGGTATCCAGATGATAGACTGGAGGCATTTGTGAAAACTTACAAATTTCCACAGAGATATTAAACGTTTTCATAAAACTTAGCTACCTGCTTAGTCTGGTTGCAGAGTAAATGGGTGCGATTCTTGAAACTTTGCTAGTGCCCAATGTGAGATCTAGACATCCCCTAGAGCTCAGTTTAAAGCTTTCAAGTCGCACATGGACATGAGACATCAGCTTTCCATGTGAGATTTCAGCTTCCTATCTCTCGAATGAAATATGACGACGAAAACACTGCGCAGCTAGCCCGGTCCACGGCCATGCGTTCGTGTGGTGCAAAAAAAAAAAACTATGCTGCGTTGCAGCAAACTTGCTGGTGCAATCATGCACTTTTGCGATGGACTTGAAGCATTCGGTTCGCTAACTGTATGAATGATTATTGCTTTATATTTAACTTGTGCACTCTTTACCGTAAATTTTGCATCAATGGAAATGAGTAATGCCCGATGAATGATCGTTCATTGAAAACGATGTGGCTGTTCTAATACCCGCGTTAACAATTTTCCCGTTGAAAACTTTCACGTGTCCGTGCGTGAGGAGCCAGGTGCTGAGGAACTGAATTTGAATTCTTTAAATTATAAATAGGTAGGGAACATCCCCTTAAAATTCAACTTTTCTGATTCCCGAGCTAGCAACCTTTTCGCCAGAAATTTCACGTGTTCTTTCATGAAGTCCAGACACATTTGGAAGTTGGTACCGCGGGCTTGGGACGGCCAGAGAAGCCACTGACGAAATTTCACCATTAACTTTTACTTAACGAGTTTATTCCAGGAATGCAGGAGCAGGGAACGCAGCAGCAAAATCCTGTGCAGCAGAATGCAGCAGGAACTTCGCTTTTAGCTTCAAACAGCAGAACTGCTACAACATCCCGTCAAAACGCTCTGTCATCCCTTCCACTTGTAAAACTTTTGATCATGATAATAGAAAATGCTGCCCGGTTAACCTCTTTAATGGTGCAACACATTCTTGAAATGTAAGGTACACTAGCATGCTCTTGGGACATCTTGCCAATTTGTTGATAGACTTTTTGAAATTTCACTTCTCGCTCTTCCACCTTCCATTGGTCAAAGGACTGTGTGTGCGAGATAAGGTCTGTGATGAAAACGAAATCACTTTCATCACTGCGGTTTCTTGCTGGCCAATTTATCAGTGATTTTTATGCGTTTTGTGCTGTGTAACAGCAGTACAAAACGCATATTGTTACGGGGTTGTC